GAGCTTGTGCCAGTGGTGATCTCTCCCCAATCGAAGGAACAGGCGTTTGTCCTCCTTCTAGGTTGTCTGTGGTTTCGGGTTACTTGCTGGAGCAGGCCTTCGCGGAACTTGCACATTTGGTGGTGTCGGTAACTTGGCCGCTTTGCGGGCTACTGTCACCCAGGGTGAGCTGGTGTCTTGAGGCTTTGAGGGAAGGGCGTGGCTATGATCCTCAACAGTTGTGATATTCCTAGGGGCGACTGGTTTTGGTGTGCTTGCCATAGTGGAAGGTTTCTTACTTGGTAAGTTGGCTACTTCTGCCTGATCTACTGCAAAGGCAGTGATAACAGGCGTGATGTTTTCCAGCAGAGTCGCGACAACTGCTGCTGCTTGTTTCTCTCCTTTGCTCTTAGCCCAGGAGTCGATTAGTTCTAGAAATTCCTGGGCTATATCCAGTCTTTCTTTCCGTTGTTGTTCTGCTTTGTGCATTGTATTCACAATGCCAAGCAGGCTTGGGTGAAGTTGCCCTCCTGGATTGGAGGGCGTTGTCGATGACGATGCAACAGCTGGGGCCATTGCACCGATTGAAGATTCTTGTAAATAAGGGTAATGGGTGATGCGATGTGTTAGGTGTCGATAAATGCAATATTGATTGATTTTTTTAATTTTTAATTTTAAATGAGGGCCATTGTACTTTTCCGATAGAGTTGAAGACCATCCCCATAATTTAGACTTTCACGGAAAGTAATTGGACAGTACTTCTGGATTGCTTTAGTTGCCGACGAACTAGACATGGGCCTGCATGAAGACCAAACCAACCAAATCAATATGTATAGGGATGTAACCCCAGTTATTCTGAAAATTATTCCTCTTAAATCCTTAAGAGACTGTAGATTGGTTTGGTCATCTTGCAGGCCCATGTCTAGTTACTTGACTAGTTATGCAAGCAAGAGGTATTATCCAATGGCATTCCGTGAAAGTCTAAATTATGGGGATGGGTTTGAACTCAATGGGAAAAGTACAATGGTCCTCATTTGAGATTCAAATTTAAAAAAATCAATTGATATTCTCTAAAAATGCACATCTATTTCAACAATGTGTGTTTGTGTTTATTGTGCTACTTGAGTCTATGACTATCTAGCACATTGGGCTCCTCTCTGACCCAGGCCACACCTTGTACAGTGCTCCTATCCTCTTTTGTTACTTGAAAGATCATTGATATATTCCCCTCGATGAATAGCCATTCAGCTCAGTATTTACCCGTGGAATTCAGCCACCTTTTCCACGGAACCTTCTACCCAAAAAAAATAAAAATGGTAGCAATGGAAACTGCGTGCGCGGGAAAAAGTTCTATTTCAACAATAATTGCTCTGTATTGCAAAAGAATACATCGAAGCCCTCAGTATGACTTGCAACTAAAATGAAACCGTTCTACATGCTTTGTATTAGTCTGCTCCATGCTAATACTTTGTGTACCCTTCATTTTCCTTTATCACTGCTACACGTCTTTCATCCATGTTAACCTCACTTAACGGAAGCTTCTTCCGAGCAATGCGTCTGCTGTAACCTCTTTTTTTGAGGGTGTTAGAAATTAAACGCTCACTGCATCCCCAGTGGCTGAAGGGCCCCATCGCTAGTTCCAAATAGCACACCTGTCGATTTTCAGGAGATTCCCGGACGAAAGCCTCAAGTTCATCAACTTGTTCCGCGCTTAATTTAGGTGAGCATCCTTTGCGAGGTGTAGGATTCTCAGTCTCTCGAGCACACGCAAATTGCACTTGCCTTCTTGTGAAGCCAAGTTCGTCGGATATATGCTGTAATGTCAAGCCAAGTCTTCTTAATGTTCTTATTTCAATACATTGATCGCGAGTTAGATGCTTGCGAACTTTAGCTTCTGAAGCAGACTTTTGTAGAGACATTGTTTGCTAGAAGTGAGGATGAATTGATGGTGAGGTTAAGTTTCGAGGGCTGTGTAGGTCAGGCAGCCAAAAGTGTCGTTGAAAATGTGTTTTTCTAAGCCATTGTTAGAAGAAGACGATTGGACCATACTTCATGGCGAGCGGGGTAAGGAGGAGGGACATACTAACCTATTACGAGCTAGCCCGATTGCGCCTACAGGGCTAATCCCTTAAACATCCCAGTTTCGAGGTTAACATTTTATATCCCAGAAGCACTGTATTGAAGCAATGGTGTATCTTACGTAATATCCTCTTGGCATTCTTATATGACATCAAGAGCATTAGAACATATAGATAGAATTATATGTAAATATTATTGTATTGTTTTATTGAATATATTTTATTGCCATTTATTTATGCGCGTATATCTTATTGTAGCAACAGTAGGTATTGTGATTTGAGATAGACGTGAAATGCAGACAAATCTGGAGGAAAATTCTGAACACCTGTTAGTGGTTTCCCCTACGAACCTCCAGCTCTCATTGTAGAGTCGGCAGGGCCGAGATCGAGTAACACCGTCCTTACTTGGATGAGGACACCCCATCGCTTTCACCGTCCGTATCGTTTTTATCTCTCAACACAGCCCGCATCAACACCATCATGAGGCTAACCACGATCAGATCAGATCGTAGGGTCAGAGCCCTACTCATCACCCACCCTTGATCATGGAGGAAAAGCCATCCGATAAGTTTCCGGAGCGTACCCAGCACCCGACACAGAGATGGTGAATTGGACCAAGTCGCCCTGACTGTTCGAAAGAAGGAAGATATAGATGAATATGCGGACCCCATGTGGTCCCGGTGTCTATTCCTCGCCTAGCTGGGGCTGCAGCTATTTTTAGATTTTCCGGCGCATGCAGTTTCCATTGTTACTTCTTTTTTTCTTTTTTTTAGGGTGGAAAGTTCCGTGGAAAAGGTGGCTGAATTCCATGGGCAATATATCAATGACCTTTCAAGTAGCAAAAGAGATTAGGAGTACTATACAAAGTGTGGCCTGGGCCAGAGGGGAGCTCAATGTGCTAGATAGACTAAGACTCAATTAGCACAGTGTAAACACATGCACTAGACAGATGTGCACGACGGCATCTCTACATCAAAAATGCATCGCCAACGACAGGCTTTGCTCGACAATTGGTGGAATGAAACTTGCCCCCTACAGTATCGTGAGCTGGAACTGCTGATGCACCGTCGCAAACCACCAGAGCTGGAGCTTTCTAAACAATTATTACGAACCCTCATCGCAGCCCGTACGGGCCACGGAAAAGGTGGGCAAGCCTGAACACCTGTCAGTGGTGCTTACTACGAGCCTGGGAGTGAAATATTCTCCCAGAGCCAAGTGCAGTCAAATTTCGCGATACCGAACAAGTTGGCCCACGAGGCGATGATTCAGACTACTCCACCACGTCAAATCTTCACTCCTAGCGAGTCCGACTCCTACCTAAGCCTCAAGTCTACAAGTACGACCAACTACATCCTTATTCCAATGACGACACCTCTCGTCGACTTGCTCTGGCCTCAGCCGGTCACCAAATACACGCTCACGCCGATATTTATACCTGACGGAGGAAGCAAAGCGTGGCGCACAAATCTGGGAGACAGTTTTTGGGATTGGCGTGAGAGGATCAGGACAGGTTGACAAGATGATGCAAAAGAGGGATACAGTCTCGACGGGCGTGGAATTTTGGATTTTGGCATGGATTTTTTACGAATTGAGCTTTGTGCGCGCCAAGAATTCGGTTGCGAGAGTGCAGGCGACACAATAAATACCGCCATGGTTGGATGGTGCGGTGGTTCATCGTCTTGGTCGGTCTGCTTAGTAAAGTGTGGATAGCTTGGACACATATCCCACTCGAGACAGTAGATCGCTGCTTCAAATCCGGCAAAACACAACCACATTTCTCGCAGCGCCGGTATACATGGATGACGAAGGCATGCTTGGATAACCAAAGGTTTTGAAATTCCCTTTCGTGGGTACTTACGGAGGAGGGTTGACTGTTTGTATAAGCAAGCATACCTCATAGTGGTATTTGCAAATGAAATCCAGAGTATGAGTGTCTCTAACGTCAAAAGAGTCATCCTATATGTAAACATAGCACTGGTCATTTGTCATAGCTCTATAGCTGAATACACATCAAATGATTTAAAAAAAAAAAAAAAAAAAAAAAAAAAGGCCACGGAAATTTCGCGGCGCACCATCGTCGCTTCAACAATCCACACGCCACCACAGAGTGCACTTGGGGAGAGGAACCCACCTCTTATCACTTCATACACTGTCGACTTGACGCAAACATCACGCGTCGAATCAGAGGGTTATTGTCACACAGTGCCCTCCTACACAAGCTACTCGGACCAAAGTGCGTCGAGAACTTTAAAATCTTCGCGCGGGATACCAATTGTTTTGGGTATTCTCCATGGTATCCATCTCCTACTCTCAGTGGAGATCGATTATAACTTGTCAGGAAACTAAACCCGACTCGACGGGAATCGAGGCGAAGGGTATTGCTTACGGTTCTAATTCTTTTGCAATAAATAGTTTCGTCAACCTTTGGGGAAGGAGATGCTGCGGCGCATATCTATAACTGACTGCTGATTTTGTAGATGATCATGCGGAAGAATCGAGATGGGTGTGTCTTGCATGTAGTCCTGGCCGTGAAACCCGTCCTGTGCTCATTGTGGACTTGGAGCTTTATCTTAAGCCCCGAGACAAAACAGCTAGAAACTGTGGTTCTGGCTGTATCATGACTCATCGTTCACTTGCTTGGTTGCGGTTCACGTGGGGCGGGGATACCAGCCCTGGCTAAGATATTAAATTTGCACGATGACGTTCCCGTCAGGTAAGAATAATCTCCATAAGAGCTGTATGCTGTGTACATTAATGTCAGGCACATCATGACGAGAATCTGTGACCTATTGCGAGATAATCGACACTTGTACAACCTTCTGATAACCATTATTTAGATAATTTGATTTTGAATCATATTTACATTAAATTAAACGATAAAAACAAATCAATGCCCAGACAAATGTTTGACGATTGCTCACAGCCATTTCCAATCTCAGTAGATTAATTTAGATCAACTTCTAGTGTTAGCCACGAAATTTCTTGAAAGGGCAATCTTACTAGTGCCATGCCACCAATAACTGCGATGGCAGCCATGCCGGATACTCCATTAACGCTGGCAGCTCCGGTGTATGGCATAGGAGGGTTGCTTGGTTCCGGGTAGGAGTAGGCACCAGTGCCGGAAGATCCTGATCCTGAGCCGGAACCGGAGCCTGGGTTTGAACCGTAACCTGGGTTAGAGCCGTATCCAGAAGATGGAGAGGCAGGAGATGTTGGCATTGAGTATCCGGTGGAAGGATAGGCTGAGGTAGTTGAACAGACAGTTACAGTAACAGTCCTGTAGAGGTTAGCGTATTCGACGTCGGTTGGGGGGAATTACTCGGTAGCGAGAGCAGAAGTGGCCAAGAAGGCAATGATAGCGAAGAAGTTAAACTGCATGTTGATATTGGGTGAAAATTTGTAAGAATTAGAGATATTAGGGTTAAAGTTAGAGTAGAGAGCGAGAGAGAGAGAGAGGTTGTATTGAAGTGAAAACGAAGGTACCTGGAATAGGATGAAGATGTGGATAATGATGGAAAGCAGTGCTGTAATATATCTCTGGAGGTGAGCTAGAGCAGCCCCTTTACAAAATAGGGCTTCAGAGCTCCCTGCATGCAGTGGACGAGTCAACAGTGGAATGTGGCATCTAGTCAAGATCCTTGACCCCGTCGTCTTCAGCATCTACCCCTGAAGGGCGAGCAGAGAGTATTCGTGAGGTCGATCCTCACATGATTCACATGAACAAAGCAGGCGACGGACCACATGGGCTGCAAGGGGAGAATGCCGTGCGTTCTGCTCGTCCGTCACACTTCATGGCGCCGCTGCCCCGACGACGCGGCAGATTTTCCTGATCGTCGGCCAGGGCGCGCCACCACTGGCTATTTTAAGCTCCATGCGCGCACCCGCCCATTGTGCCGAAACTCCGAGTTGGGGAGCTGGCTCTGAGATGGAGCCTAGCTTACTGCAACAGTTACTCCGACGCAGGTCCGGCTGAGGTCTCATCGCATCCGCAGCTCTCGGCCCCTCAGCCGCAAGGCCGGACGGCTCGTCGACGAAAGTCTGCATTCCGCCGCGTGCCGCGGCATTTTCCTGGAATCCGAGAGCCGGCGGCGCAGCTGGCTCGTCCATCGGCCAATTCACCGTCGACCCATGCCCTCACCACCCCGGAGCTCTGGCCCGCGCTCAGTCAGCATGGCGAGACCTCGCCCGGCCCTCTCGCATCGAGAACATGTGCACATGCCAATTTGACTTTGCCGAGGGACTCGCGCACGATCCCTTCATCTCCAAACTGAAGCAGCGCTGGTTTGTCCGCCGCATCAATCAATGAACAGCGCCGCCCGAAAATGCCACATCATTAAAACTGTGGTCTTCTCGCCCATGACGCATGGATGGTATTGATGTGATTTGGCTATTGTCTCGTCTCATGTTGCTCAGGGTCGGACGAATTAAATGGAGCCTCAACCGCTGATGCTCGTGGGTAAGAAGGGATGATATGACTTTGACAGAGTTACCTTTGCGCCCATCTTCCCTCCGCAAATCTCCCGTCAATGGGGGCCATCGAGTGCTAGGCACCTGTCAGCGCTGATCCCTATTAATCTTTACCTCTCATCCGAGACTTTGCTGCGGCCAGATTTAGACACAACCTTTTGAAATCTCCATTAGAGTTCGGGTCTCTCCTGAGACAAATTTCCCTTACTGGATGACAAAAATCTCCACCCAACCAGCAGGCGAGTGTGGCATGAAGAATATCACAACGACGGTCAGAATTTTAGTCGAAACATCCCACCACATAGTACACGCCGGCTGGCGAACTGTGTGCTGCGAATGTCGATTAATAATCTGTCATCTTTGAAGATCTCGCAAATCAATCCACGCGCGGCTCCGTCTCTCCCCTTGTCCCGCATCACTAGCTACGAGAACCAACCGACTTTACAAGTTACTTCATGACACCTCTGCTATACCGAATATTGTATGTCGGGCTCAGATCCTTCAGGATAATCGTATTCGTCAGAGACTTTTTGACGTCCCATCGTAACCATTGGTAGATCATGCGACGCTGGCAAAGGAGCAAATGAAGTAAAACGGACCGTCCAACGCACACCACAGATTTTGCCGCCTAGTTGAGAGACCTATTCACACACCTCACCAAAATAGCCTTATTTCGCACTGATCCATGGATATTAAGGACCAGTTAAACTCGCAGAGTAATCCAGCAGTTACAACTGTGCAGATGGTCGTTGATCATTTGGCTCCAGAAGAGATATTCTCATGAGATAGTTGCTCTAGAGGTTTACCCGGAGAAAGGCCTGCGGGATATTGTCACTGTAAAGCGGCTGCAAATAAATTATAGATACTCTAGGTCTATTTGCAGAAATGATCAACACGTCTTGATATAACAGACGTCATAGAAAAACCAAATTCGTATCTCATTCAGCTGCTGAACTGCTCTCATGTCCGACAATTTTTCTCTACACTTGAATCCAACACTCGCATTTCTGGGTAGCCCTGAGCCGCACCTTCTGCGCCAAGACTATGAGATTGAGAGGTGAGAATTGTGGTGTGCTCCAGCCCCGGGCTTCAAACGGCACCAGAAATCCAAGGTTCTGGCAACCGTTGAAGGTATATCGGAAGATCAAAGGGCTGGATAGAGCAGTCCTATATTACCCAACCTGATATCTTGGATGTAATCCGGATAGCATAGGAATTTGGACACATTCAGTGAAGAGATTGCTAATTTGATACAGTCAGACTCGACTACACCACTCGCAGCGCTCGCACACAAAAACGACATATCTATGATTGTTCACCAAAGCTCTTGGACCCTCTACTTGATAGCTAGCGCCAGATGAAAGGTGGAAGTACTAATACTCTTAATTCATACTATGTGTAGGATCATCTCCGCACCGTGTAGAACAGCACCAAATGGTGGTTAGCTTAGGCCAAAGATCCTTTTTAAGAAAACTCTCATTCGAAAAAAATATCTCAAGCTAATGTCTAAAAATACCCTTTCAAATACTAGCATGAAAATGGTACCGTTATCGCCCTTAGACCACTCATTTTCTGATCAGACAACGGAAGGTATCTTATTACCTGCTCTTTACGGCGAAAAGCCTGTACTTTCTGGTAAAGGTTTAATCTGTCCATAACTCTGAGCTTGATGATGGCCAGCAAGAGGAAGAATATCATGACCTGCCATTTAAGCTAAAAGGGCGAAAATGGCATTAATTAGAAGATAGGACCGATATAGTAAGGGGTGATTAGCCCAGAGTAGTTATGGGCATTGTGAATTTAGTCGGAAGCATCATCAAATTAAAGAGGAGTCAAGTGCGCGATATATAATTACACGTGTCATATCCCTGTCACTAATTACCAGACCCCGCACTGCCATAAACACCATCAATCTCTGCTATCCATCGCAATCCCGAGTATCAGTGTGAGTTACTATTATACGGTATGTTTGTACGGGTCGATATCAAGATAGAAATGTTAACACTTTTATATCCGATGAATTCGGTAATTTTTGTGTATGTACACTAACTTGCCCAGAATCCAGCATCTTCTAAATCTTCTTGATGGCTATAGCGAGGCCGGCTCAGGTGAAGTACTTCAAAGTGCATAAAGCTCTTCACATATAAACAATCAGACCACCTCAGTCTCCATCCATGTGTCGAACATTTGTAGTCAAACCGTCCAGACAATTTGAATTTGGCACGCCGCAACATAAATTCCTTCTCGGACTCGACATCCAACGCCTTCGAGTACCCGGAATACTCCTAGTACTTTCTCTTTTGTGATCCGAGCATCTCATTTGCCTGATAATTTATCGAAGGCCACCCTTAGTCGCTCACTGAGCCTACCTTCATTCCAAGTCCTGTGTCTTTCTCCACTACGCTCTCACACTCATCTATTATGCAACTTTGTCATCTTTGAAACGTAGAAAAACTATCCATTCCTTCGGCCTTGCCCCGTCCATACCCTAATGCCAATCCTGGAGCACTAGTATGCATCGAAGAGTTCAACGCCGATGCACGGACGCTCTGATCTTGGTCGAATTATTCAGTTGACGTGCCGCAAAAAATTGTAGATAATCTGCAAGTCGTCCGTCACAGGTCGATTAGATGCTGCCCTTTGCTGAGGCATAGAAAAATATAAGCTCTATGTAAAGCTCTACCACTACAACATATTGTAGCTACGGTGGGACAGACTGCCCTTTAATTTTTGGCGATTATCTCGTTAAGGTTCAATGAGCTTCATTGGATGGTGAGATGATTATGTAGGAGGTTCATGGAATGATTGCATACATCAGTAGGTTATAATTTTTGATGAGGAAGTGCGCCCTATCAAGATAAAACAAACTATTGCCTAGTTTAGAGTAAAATACGTTGTAAAAACAAAAAACTTGATGGGAGGGCGAAGGCTTAACACCTGTCAATGATGTCCTCTACGAACCTGGGGGTGAAATATTCTCCCAGAGCCAAGATCCAGTCGCGAAAATGGGTGGGATGAATTTTATTTGATGGATTTTCGATTTGAAGGAGTTGCACTCGATATTTTGGTCGAAAAATCAGTCGGCAGAGATTTCACAGCCGGAACAAAGTTGAACAAAAACTCATCACCACTAACATACGACTCACGAATGGATTTAGGTCTGTCTGGGGGTCGTATTCAAACATCCGACAACTCTCATGCTCCTTTTATATTTGCGACGAAGTATTTCTCAGTCGATCCTACACCTGCGACCCACTTCCATACTCGTCCAATCACCTACCTACACACGCCCTAATGAGGAAAGTCATGATGGAAACGGGACGTATACAAAGGATGAAGAAAAGGGAAGATACACCGAGGGGATTACACAAATCCCCAATGACGAAAACAACCCAACGGTACTATATGAAGGTGCAAGGCTAGAGCAACGATGAGATCTTGGACGGCATATATATTTCGGGGTCAATGAGGACGCCAAGGGCTCGGGCGCGTGGTGGCCGAGGCTGAAGAGGAAATTGCGCTACGGCGTGTATACAGCGGGTTTCTGGACGGTAAGACTTGGTATGATTCAACACATAGGTGAAGTCTGAGATGATCCGGCCACTTAGATGGGACGAGGCTTGTCTGTACTTCACGGTAGCTAACCTGATCCGGCCCAACCCCACACGTGCTTAAGCTCCAATAGGAGTGCAACGGTAGTCATGTAACCTAGCACGTTAATGAACAAAACAAAACAGAACGTTTTTCCTGTAGTAAGAGAGGAAAGAATGAAGATACATAATAACCACTATTTGTTATTACTGCTACAGAAAGCTTGTGAAATAAATACCACCCGAGTATTCCGACAGTTGCCAATACGAAACCTTTTATCCCTCATTGTCTACAACCCAAGGGTTTCGCATGAAAACCAATATTCATGACAAGCCTTTCGTATCGTGGTTTGTCACACACAAGAATCGTGTGTGTTCGAAACTAATCGTTGGAGTCCCTAGATTGACACCGACTATTGGAGCGACGACCACGTGGCCACTAAAAACGTCAGGGCGTCACAGCAAGCTCCTGTTTGCAATTGGGGCAAATTCTTTATTGGTCGTTGAGGCGAGATAATGCGTGTTTAGACTGAGGTTGAGGAATCAGATGAGAATGAGAAGATAGGCATTGTCGAGAAGTCTTCAAATGGAGATATACTCGAGGTTGCTTTTGACTTCGATTCGGATGCGATTCCTCTTGCCTATCCTAAATATGCAGAGCATACTGAGCGATTACAACGGCACCACTGGAAAGTGAAGAATTCGTCTTTGCCGGCACCACAAAGTATTTCTACAGCTTCTCAATCTTTTAGTATCTTAGTTGTGTATTAAAATGTCCTTAATAAATCATACGTTTCGAAATCTCGTACGTTGTCTCTCGTTTCTTTCGTCTCTCTCGTCTTCATCTCCTGGCACCTTGCCAGTTCAGTCCTCAATTATTATCCCCTCGTACCTGACCTCCTAGTCATTACTAGGATAACTTTGGCAAACAGCGATCTTTAGAATCCCTAGCGCACGCCATAACTATATACATACAGATATATAAGCCAGGAGTTTAAAGCTAAATACATGTGTGTCGGTAATAGATCCGAGAAACTTATTACCTGCATTTGTGACATAGTCATCCGAATGAATGAAACAAGTTATTCTTAACATTCCAAGACATATCATATTTCAACAGTTGACCTCGAACACTACAGAGAAGGGACATATAGATGAATAAGCGCACCTCTTGTAGTCCTGGTGTCTAGACCTCGCCTGACTGGAGCTGCAGGCTTTTTGAGAAATTTTCCGGCGCACGCAGTTTACGTTGCTACCATTTTTATTGTTTATTGGTGGAAGGCTCCATGGAAAAGGTGGCTGAATTCCACGGGTAAAGACCAAGCTGAATGGCTGTTCATCACGGGCAAAACATCTATGATCTATCAACACAAGAGATAAGAAACACTGTACAAGGTGTGGCCAGAGTCAGAGAGGAGCTAAATGTGCAAGATAGTCTTTGACTCACCGAGTACAATAAAAGCGAACCAACAAAAAGAAAATTTCAAATGAAACTGCGAGCCTCGGAGTGATATATTCTCCTAGAGTCAAGCTCAGTCAAAACTTGCAATACCAAAGAGAGAGAGGTTTATTTATTGTACTACTTGAGCCATAGACTATCTAGCACATTGAGCTCCTCTCTGTCTCTGGCCACACTTTGTACAGTTCTTCTTGCCTCTCATGTTTCTTGAGAGATTTTTAATATATTGCCCTTAATAAATAGTCATTCAGCTCAGTGTTTACACATGGAATTCAGGCACCTTTAAAAGCCGCCATAAATCTGCTGTAGTACAAGCAATGAAATCTGAGGCATAAGTGCTCTATTTTTAAGTTGAATTATCTTTTCTGTACTTTATTTCTGATATTGTGTCATAGCTAGGTTTTTTTATTCGCAATGAAAATCTGATGGAAAAAATTAAGAATTGGACACATATTTTCTCTATCTCGGTGTAAAAATATTCAGACGTGGAGCGGGAAATTCCGACCAACACTAACTAATTTCTAGCTCGTTTTTTCTATTCCAAATTTTTTCAATGGCCAGCACAGTGCCCTCAACTATAAGTTGGTGTTCGATGCTGTGCATTCGATTTTCGAATTCGTGCAATGTTTCTTCAATTTGACATTCTACCTCCCTCTGGATTATAACCTCGCCTCGATCAACCTCGCCAATAACATAGTGTATCATTACCCCTGTCTTGTTATTTGCAAGTTTCCCTGCCTGAAAATCATCAAATGCCCTTTGAATGGCATTAGTGCCGTCATATCTGTATAGTTATTAGGTGTTAGTGTATATGAGCTAGCACGAAAACTAACCGTCCATGTAATGCTGGATGAAGATTGATCACTGGTATCTCACGCTCCTTCATAGATTCCAAAAAAATAGGTGTTAAGACATGCATAAAGCCTGCACAAATAACAATATGGGGATTATCAGCTAATATCAGCCTTGATAAATCCTGATCGTACTTGTATCGCGCCGCATCCCTCACATCTTTATTTTTTTCGCCGGCGGCCTGATATTTACCACTTATCAGATTGTGATATGCTGTTGGTATTCCTGCAGCATGGGCACGTTTTATCCCATTGACCTTGGCTCGGTTAGAAATGACTCTGACGATTTTTAGGTGAGATAAAATTGAGTCAGTTGCATCTATGATGGCCTGAAGATTAGAGCCTTCGCCAGAAATTAAGACTGTAGCTCTCGTAACAAGTGGATTCCCCATTTTAAGTCGGATTGGCTGCTAAATTCTCGAAAACACGACCTACTCGATTGTAAGTCAAGTTAATGGTGAGTAGTCTCAACCTGAAGCTAAAATTGGGCTCGTCAGAATATGTGATACAACTGTAGAAAAGCTGTACGTATTTGGAATCACGTACTGTTAAGATTAAAGTTGGAAGTAGATTTTTACGAGTTTTCCAAAGATGAAATTTGTGAATTATTTCCCCAGGAATTTAGTCGATGAACAAACTCGAGAATAGAATCAAGTTTGAGAATGTTGCTGAGACTGTTGTTTAGAATGTGTACGTTCTCTTTGTTAAGGTTGCAACTCCTGCGAAACATAAACTAACAAAATGTACCTGAATGAGGGGTTTCTGATATTTATACCCGACGGAGGAAGCAAAGCGTGGAGCACAAATCTGGGAGATAGCTCTTTGGGATGTACGTGAGAGTGATCAGGACAAGTTCACAAGATGATGCAGAAGAGAGAGATGCGTTTTCGACGGTCGTGAAGTTTTGAATTCTGGCAAGAGTTCTACGAATTGAGCTTTGGCGCGCCAAGACTTCGCTTGCGAGAGTGCAGCTGACACTATAAAAACAAGCCGACGATGGAAGGTGTTGTGATCCACCTCCTGGTGGTGTTCTCTGGTATAGTTTGAGTAGCTTGGGCACCTACTCCACTTAGGAAGGAGATATTCTGGATTAAATTTCGCGCGGAGAAAAGTTAATGGATGACGGAGGCATGTCTGGATAACTCAGGGTTTTTGAGACGTTCCCTTGGGTGGGTATTCACGGATGAGGGTTGACTTGGGGTGAAGAAAAAGCCGGCATAACTTCGCAGTGTTACTTGCAAATGAAATCTGAGGCATGAGTGCTCCTCTTGTAAATTGAATCATATTTTCTGTACTTTTCTTTGGTATTGTGTCGTAGCTAGATAGCTGCATACGCAATTAAAATCTGATGCAAAAAAAAAAAAAAAACCAAAAAAAAAGAGGGGTTTCTGCACACAAACGTGTGCCCCACCAAATTTCCTAGTCTAACTGAGAAAGGAATGAAATTGGAGATGCTAGGGCTATCAGAATATGAATAAAAACATGAATGAATAATTATTCGTAACAGGCACAAGCCTTGTACTCATAGAGCATGACACGGAGATGGCTAGTCCTTCCCCGACGACTGTATACGACAATAACTCGTTCCTTCACGACTGCAGTTTTTCGGAAACGCAATCAGTATACAACGTATTCCAGACAGGAAATCAGTCCCTACATGTGAAAAATGGTACGGGTTTCATACAACTCGCGCACGTGCTCATCAATTCATGTGTGGATTTCCCCCAACCACTTTTTCTATTGCCACCTCGGGCAATACCAGGCTCAGCTCCACAGCGCACAGAATTCTAATCCCAGCGTCTCTTGGGTTCTTTCTTCGACGGAGGGATTCAACGCATTCAATAGCTGGTCAAGTATTAAAAATTTATTCGAAAAGGCACAACGACAAGTCTGATTCGAACGAAATCACGATTTGATGTAAACAATTTCTTCTTTTCATTATGTTTGTAAAATATTTTCTTGATTTAGTACCAACTACATAGCATGAGATTCGTTGGACGGACGACCTCTATGTATACTATAATCTTCGAGCGCAGGATGATAAGATGCTGGTTTTCAATGGCTTTGTTGGGTCTATGTAGGCGCCAATACGTCGGGTAGTTCTGTAGGTACTGGGCCGTCCAGTACGTGACAGTAGTCACGAGTTGTGGACAGGCATGACGATAAATCAAAATCAAAATGTGCGAATTTTGCGGAAAAGAAAAGCAAGACGGGGTATGTGTCCTCCCAAGACGACGCCTTAACTGCCGCGGTCCACACGATTCCCTGAGTATCTCATGCCCAGCAAGGCCCCAACGTAAAAATGGAGCTATTGATTGCGTGTCCGGTTCCCAACTCTGACAGATTCGAAAAGCAGGTCGAAATTAATTTCTGAAAGCCCATCAAATATCAGAAAGCTCAAACGCTGAAGAAAGAGCGGCCGACTCGAACTCTACAATGCACTAATTATAGCGAGAAGACACAATCTAAGAAGAAAAATAATTATATGAATTATGCAAGCAAACGTTGGGAGAGGTGCAAATCCGCACAGTTTAGCTCTTCATCTTACACATGAAAATGATATTGATATCTTGCTAGTTCAAGGGTCATGAACTTTAAGAGACTTATCTGCAAAGCGCTCCAAAATACATCCAAGTTTCTTGACTTTTGCACCCCTCTCGGAATGAAACAAACGCCCCAAGACACTTACCTACGTACGAAAAATTCAGGGGCCACACCCATTTCCAATAGCTATAGAAATTTCTGTGGATTTTGTACAAGTCTCTGTGTCTGGCGATTGCGGCCAAAAATTTGATTTTTGGAACGTTTACTATGTCCCCATGAGTAGTATTGGTGCTGACGAATGCTTGAAATCATTACTCGAATTCCCTGGTACTCCAGACTTTGCAGGTGGCGAATTTAACTATAGACATCCATTATGAGACTCATTTATCACTTATAACCCTTAAAAAGCAATAGCCTTGATTGACTGGGCGGTAGATAAAGACCCCCCTCTTCTCAACCCTACGGACATCTCCACACATTAAAAAGATGGAATTTTAAGCCTCGAATCTTGCTCTCATGCTGGCTCTAAATGCGAAATTCCACTAGACCTTCATACAATATCCGACCACGAGTCTTTAGTAACAACTATACCTCTGAAGGATAAAGCTAATTGTGATAGTGTCCGACGACTAGGCTATGGTGCAATCAATAAAGACCTTTTCCTTAGAACTTTGGGCAACATCCTAGAACCTTCAAATATTCAAAATGAGGAATATACCGATGCAGTAGCGGAAAAAACTATACAAATTATACAAACCACTCTAGAAGCCACCTGCCCCCGCTCAAATGGTAAACAACGTGGAACTCTACGGTGGAATGACGAATGTAGGAACTTTTCACGTAGATACCGATAAGTCACACGATTAGGTCACTCTGAAAACGAAAAGCGCGAGCTTCGAATTGCGGTTAGATAGGCAAAGAAGGACTTCTGGAAGTCACTAGTGGAACAATTACAAAACTTACCCGATGTGTACAAAGTAGTAAAGTGGCATAATACAGCGCCAAAGTATCAATCTCCTCCCTTGAAAGATCCTAAAGGAGACACAAAAGTCCGATGTCCGAAAAAAAGGCTGAACTTCTGCACTGAGTGCTTCTTTCCAGACATATGGAAGCGAAATATGTACCGCAGGATGTGTCAATCATAGCTACTAGAGATATTCGGTGGCAGGCAAATACGGAGGCTGAAGTCTTCCGAACCACATGCCAGATTACTTACACATCCCCTGGAGAGGATGAAATTACAGCCCCTATACTCCTAATCTCATGGCCCTTGATAGGGCACCATATCACTAACCTATTCAATAAGTGAACCATACTGAGTAGTAATCCCGGAATTTCAAAAGGGCAGAGATTATCATCTTGCCGAAGTTTTGGAAACGAGACCGCACGCCCCTAAAATCATAACGGCCAATATCCCTCCTAAGCTGTTTAGGCAAAGGGCTTGAACATCTGCTCGCAAGACGAATCTCTTAGCTGGCTTTAAAATACAATATTATTGCTAAGGACCAGTCTAGCACAATTAGTAAACGATCGGTAACAAAACAAACCACAGCTCTATTATGTGATGTGAAGGATGCACTTACTTTTGGAAAAGTCGCAGGCATTGTGACTGTTAACGTAAAAGGTGATTTTGATGGATTAGTAAGGAATAGGCTTCTATATAGACTACGGACACAAGGATGGCCGGTTGTCAAACTAGAGGGTGCCAAAGGTAGTGTGGGGAGGGTTGCTGAGTGGCTTGATTAATATCTAAGGAGGTTGGCAAGAGTCAAAGGTATAAATTCGTAATTGTAACTAAAACTGAGGACGAGGGACGAGGGGGTCTAGGATAGAAGACAAGGTCATTGGAAGACGGAAGACAAGACGTGACCCGCTACTGCAGCTCTGTCCAATGCATATATACATCATAGTAACTAGAGCAACCTAGGTCTCATAGGATACACCTTCTACTACTCAATTGTCGGCATGCAGGAAGACAAAGCAACCCCAATCTGAAAGGCAAGATGCACGGGCTATCACGAGAACCTTGGATATTGCGGAGTGGGGTCAAATAGATGGGAATATGGAGATGAAGTCACGACAGAAAGCGGCTGGAAAGGTCGCGGCCTTTAAAGAATGGGAACGATCTTGGACGAAACAATCAGCAAAACAGCCTACTAACCATCAAGCGATAGCAGATCCCAAAATCTGGAATGCAGCAAACATCTTTATAGATGAAAAGACGGGAAAGATAGGAATGAGCCAAAGAGGAACACCTTACAGTATCCGTAAACACCTGAGCAGGGCCCAGAGCAGCATAGCCATGCAGATAAGAAGCGAACATATTGGGTTCAATTCCTATCTACACAGAAGAAAAATTACAGGAGTAGATAATCCACGTTGCCCATGTGGATTTCCGTCCCTGAATGTGAAGCATATGATCATGGTCTGCACCAGCTGGGCCAAAGGTAGAGGAGAAATACTGAGAAAGGCTGAGAACCGGTCTTTTGAGGCCATGATGAACAATCCCAAAAATGTTGCAAGGATAATTAGATGGATCCAGTAGGAAGGAAGGTTAGAGCAGTTTCGACAGACGCTTGAAGTCGAAGCCACGATGAGGGAGAGAGAGTAGAGAAGGCGAAAGATGATCCTCTGCCAGTATCAATGAAGTGTGATGAAATCTAGACATGCCAGACCGAACTACACGCAATGCGGAGTAGACAAAGACTATTCATCTTTGATTGCTACCAGCTTTGGTGAGGTCTCGGTGGTGTGAATGTTATTCCATCACGTAATAAGAACATAATGTTTCTACCTAAGCGAGGTAGAATATAGATAGACAATTAGATGTAGATTAAAAGTATAACAC